TGGATATCAGCAGATGTTAATCCTAAACCTGTAGATACTGTTCAGCATTAATGGAGCCTTCACAGATGTGGAAGATACCCATGACATGGACTCTGATGACCCCTATAGTACAGGGATGCTGGCTTTGGACAATGATGATAACTCAACAGTTTAGAACACAGGAGGCAGTGTCCATAATTTCCAACAAGACTGTCAGACCACAGAACAGTTATCCATGTCCCCTCAGTCCATCTTAAATGAGCCCAGGTCCAGAGAAGTCTCTGGTGCTTCTGCATCATTTAAATGCAGTTGTTCATGGGCACATTAGACTGGGGGTTTGTTAATTTCATGGAGAGTGTGGTCTAGACCAGCTTTTTTTAACTGTCTCCACACACTGGGCGCAAGTAAAATCATTTGCACAAATGAATTACATATTAAGTCAATGCAAAAATGTGATTAGACGCTCGTACTACTCTGCCGGCGCGAATGACAGGAATTGGGCGGGAGCTTAAAATCTCTCAGCTTGAGCAGATATTCTGCTCTGCACAAAACTGATCAGCACAAAAGTTGATGTATGAAAACGGACGGTTGTTCACTGGTATCTATGATGGAGGACAAACTGATTGTGTCAGTGTATGGGTGCCAGGAATTATACGTTACCTTTTCTTTTAATGACTGAAACTGGAATAAAAAAAGAGCTCACCTGGAGGAAAGAGAGTGAGGAGGTCGGATTACCTGGTAAATTCTAAAAAACCTTTGTCTTTCACTTGATCCTGCCGGTTGAATTGACAGGGATTATTATACAAATTACCATTGACACAAGAAAGGAGCGACTATTCATTCATATGTCTAGATTCGCGCGAATTAAGTGAGTAGATAGTTTTACTCATGCTTGGTGTGAGCACTACATTAAGCATCTTGAGATACCATTTGTTGTGAATTGGTGCTTTATAAATAAAGATCCAATGTGTATTGTTATTGTGACACAACCTTTGAAACAAACAAACAAACAAACAAACAAACAAACGTCAGTCGGTAGAATAATCTGTATTAAAGCCTGTGTTTGTGTGAGCTCACCTCCTCCTCCTCTACTCACACACTCCCTCTCTCTCACACTCTGACCTCCTGTTGAACTAACATCCATATGCTTGTCCATTCCTTTACATGAGCAGCGATAGGATACTGTGTTAAATGTTGGCACCCTGGGGTGCAGCGGCCACAGCTTCTCCCTTATAAACAGGCGGTCAGCTGCCCCCGGGCCGCGCAGAGATGCTAGCCGATTTGACATCCGCGTCTGCTCCACGCCTGTCTGAGCGGACGCGTCTCTGCCGACAAGCTGCCTTACCTCGGGGGAGGCCAGTGAAGAGGTCAATATGCTCAAATGATTCCTCTCCTGCAGAGAGCGAGTATCTCTGGCTTCAGGATATTTAGTGACAGCGAGGATTGTTGGCTGGCATGATTTTCCCGATGTGTCCCCTGCTCCTCAAACACTGAGATGTGGGTTTTCATCAAGGCGTCTGATGACTGATGGTCAGGGAAATAGGATGCAGCATTCTCGACAGCAAACAGATGCTGACCAGCACATCACCATGAACAGGCCTCCGAGGTTCAGGACTCTCATTCTGCTGGATTTCTCATGAAGGGTCTGAGTTCATGTGTGTATGTTAATGTGTGGGTGTGTTTATGTGTGTGTAGTCCAAAAGAGTTTGTGGAGGCTCCCCCTCTGAAGTGTCAGCCTCTCAGAGACAGGATCAAGTGCTAAGCTGGGGACTCAGGAGCTCAGCGCCTAGGGTATGTGTGTAGAAGTGCAAGTGTGTGTGTGTGTGCAAGGGTGTCTTAGCCGCCCACACTTGTGGTTGTAAGGATTGAGGATGTGATATATCCTTTTATCTGTTACTGTGGATGAGCGAGAGGCTGACCAGAGCCGGCCACATAAGGCTAAATCCACATGCTCAAAGGCTGGATCAGTGTCCCTGTAAGTGTGTGTGTGTGTGTGTGTGTGTGTGTGTGTGTGTGTGTGTGTGTGTGTGTGTGTGTGTGTGTGTGTGTGTGTGTGTGTGTGTGTGTGAACTCAGTATGAAGGTGCATCAGAGTGCAGAGCCTCCCTCCAGGGGGGAAAACACAGAGTTGAAAGGTCAAACACACATGTGAGGGGTCAGTGAGCAACCTGGCAAGCAGAACAGAATTGTCACACAATCACAATCGTGCTTGTGTAAGAGGTAAACAGAACGAGACGTTTGTGATAAATTCAAGGATCAAATTATAGAAATGTGGAGGCCAGATGAAATTAAAAAACTGGATCATCATGTTGTATAAATTTAAAGCTCCAATGAGGAACTTTATGCTTTTGTCAACTTTGGCGCCCCCAGTGGACAAAGTCATACCGTTTAAGTCCTATTTAGGTTGTACTGCCTAAAATAGAGGGTACAGCTTTGGCATGAATGCAACCTGAGTCGATACCCTAAAGATGTCAAAAATAAAGTTGAGCTGAGCTGTTTGGATCTCAAACACAGTTTGGATTGTGTGCCATCTGTGGATGGTTTTGCTCATAAACCCAGCTGCTTTAAACTAATAGGAGCATGAGAAAGATGCCTGTCTTTGTTGAATAATGTTGGGAGAAACCCTGTCAATAAAATGTACAGAGACACATTAAGCCAAAGCCGCAGTGTGTGAATATTGAGCAACACATCAACACAGTCGAGCCAGTATGCCAACTTCATTTAATAATGGTAGCAACAAAAAAAGGCAACACAACGAACTTGCATGCCCACTTCAAACAGTAACACCCGGTTGAGTTTTCCCAGCTGGGGAAAAAAAATTGCACCTGGAGATGCAGAGCTGTCGGCTTATTGAAGCATTTGGTCGACAATGCAAGTAAAGACGGAACAGCGCAAAATGGTGTGAGCGCACAGAAAGTGTCGTTTGCTACATTGCCAAAGAAATGCTGCCATTTAATACGGTTAAAAAAGAGCCAGCATTTCGAGAAATGATACAAACTTTTGACCGACAATACGAATTGCCCTCCAGAAAATATGTGCTATATTAACATTGTTTAGTTATTTTGGTATCAATAATGTCAACAATAAAATCGTTTATCATCAATAATTTGTGGGACAATATATCGTCCAGCAAAATTTGTTATTGTCCCAGGCCTAGTTATGTGTATGATTCACCTCTATTTGTAGCTTCTAATGACAATAATATATATTTTTGTCACGCTTGTGAAAAAAATTGTAACAGATCAACACATGGTCATTATATTTGTGCCTTATAAACTATTTCACACAGCTAACAGTGGTCCTGTCAATAGACACTGAGGTGAACTCCATGGTTTCATTTGTAATAACACCACCGTTAAACCATCTATTCTCTCTTTATAAACCCCACTGTGAGCTTGGCCTGTCAGCTTCTGCAGCAGCGACAGAAGCATGACTTTCCTGTACACTTGGGATTCAGTCTGATCTTCTGCACAGGAAATGAGGATGTAAGGTGGATGTGATTTTACCGCTTCTAACATATTACACCATGGTTTATGTGGTTGTAGCGCAAGGTTGTGCATGTCAAGAAGGGGGGCTGAGCTACCTGACAACGCAGGGAGAAACGCGTTAAAAGGCAAACCGTGTTTGTGGACGTGTTTTCACAGCTACGATCTAAACTACAACAGGAGCCGGTGTTACAGCGAGGACGGAAGGAAGACATAAACCGCGGTCGTAATCTCATCTTTCACTTTCACTTCTGCCGTGTTTTGCAGGATGGTGCTGAGATTTGCAGGATTATCCGACGGAGCCTGGTGTTTTTGACCTGAACTGGAACCGACAAACAACCGGGGTATGAGAGTCCACATACACATAAACCCCCCCACACACACCTCTAAGTGCAAAGACACACACTGAGAGGAAAACACGTCACTCTTTATTGAGTAGAAGTTTCACTCATCTCTCCTCCCTCATTTACCCATCTGTCCATGTCAGCCCTCGCTACTCCATTTTCACATCAGCTATCAGTCCTTCTCTCTCTCTCTCTCTCTCACACACACACACACACACACACACACACACACACACACACACACGTCACTTTCCGCATCAGCCATCAGTTTGTCTTACAGACGCGTAAATGTACATCTTCACATTCACGCATAGACCTTCTCCTTTACATCACACGTCACATCGCTGCAGATTCTCCCCTCACACACACACACACACGCACACACTCATGAACATCACACATCAGTTGTTCCTCTTATGCTGGGGGGTGGATGGGGGGTGATGGCAGCAGGAGGAGTTGACAGGGGAGAAGAGGAGGTACACAGGAAGTACATTAGTTATCACTCCCATGTCTTCTCCACCTTTTCACTTCTTATCACCAGCCGATGTTTCAGCAGCTTCTCCCTCTCATCCCACCCCGCTCCCTTTTCTCTTTCTGTCTCTTTCTTTCTCACACACACGCCTCTAAAAATGACTTCCATGCTCCACTTTAGTGTCGGGCCCTGGGATCTAGATGACACTTGGCAAGCCGCAGAAGCCCCGAGACAACTGGATGAAATATTTAAATGAAAAACGGCAGGGGTAGAAGAGGTGAAGAAAGGAAGAGTGAGAATGGAGGAGAGGCAGGGACACAGGACAGAGGACGAGGGAAGGAGAAAGTGGAGGAAAGTGAAGGATTTCTTTTATTGGCACAGAAAGAGGTTTTATGACAAGAAGAGCAGATGAATTGGCTTCAACCTGTGAGGGATTCAGCAGAGAAATAAAGCCTCACTTTGTCTAAAATCACGATCATCATCATCAGGCCTCTGTGTGTCCAACCACTCTCAAAGAAGGATAATTTTACAACCTTTGAATTAAAAGTGTCTGTCTGACTTTCTCCATTCTTTCCAAAAAAACATGTATTTACATCAATTTCATTTTAACCTACATACCTTGAAGGCTCAGCACGGTGGGGTGCCTAATAGCAACATAACGGGATAAAACTTTAACCTTTTAGAAATATTTTCTGAATGGTTTATCAGTAAAAAAGAGAAGGACTTCCTATGAAAAAAAACAAATCCAGAAAACAAAGGGAGGAAAAGCAAGGTCACAACAGGTCTGTGCTACGGTTACACCCTACTACCAAAAGTTGCATCCATGCATCCCTGTTAGTGTTGTTTTCATGGCTCCTAGTCCCTACTACCAGACATGGACAAATGCACATTGAGAACAGAAAACAGACTCAAGTCTAGATTAACCCTTGTGCACCCCTAAGGACCGTTTTGGTCCTTCGTAACTATACTTTTGTGGATAATTTTGGCTGTGATGATGCAAATGGCATGAAAGTTTGTCAAAGTGTGCAATTTTAGGTGCAATTTATTTTTTTTACTTTTTTCTTCCTTTGACCTTTTTTGCATGTGAGCAATTTTTATACTTCAGTTAACACCCCTAAGGACCGAAACGGTCCCATTGACTCCCATTAAAACATGTTTTCTTCAATACACTGCCAATGCAGTATAATTTTTGGAAATTTTTTTTTCTCATGTACACCTATTCTTTGAGGGTCAAACTGTTTTTTTTTTATGCCGACCAGCAGATGGCGCCATTTTTCTTTTTTCCTGCCATACCCTTTAGAACCAGAGGGGCACTGTTTTCCCTTTGTCACAGAGCTGGTTTATTTCATGCATATAGATAGATAGATTGATAGATATATAATTTATTGACCCCAAACTGGAAAATTCTCATGTTACAGCAGCAAAAAAATACAAAATAGAATTAAATATAAGAAGAAATATGTACAATGCAGACTAAAAATACTAAATATATACATTGAATACAGGCTTAATATACTAAACATCTTTAGAGAGAAAATACATTTAATAAAAACTATTTAGGTGTGCTTTAGGGACATCATGGATTATGTGCATGTGTTTTCATGAATTACTTGTGTGTGTGTGTGTGTGTGTGTGTGTGTGTGTGTGTGTGTGTGTGTGTGTGTGTGTGTGTGTGCAGCCATGAGAATAGCCAAAATCCTTCCAGAAACAGCGGCAGTTGTACAATCTGCACCTGCAGTTTCCTTCTGTGTGTGTGTGTGTGTGTGTGTGTGTGTGTGTGTGTGTGCGTGTGTGTGTGTGTGTCTGATTGTGTGTGATTGTGTGTCTGATTGTATGTGTGTGCGCACGTGTGTGAGCAAGCTCATGAGGTTCATAGCGGGCACCTGATCAATGTGAGTGCGTAAAAGCAAGCAAGGAAGGGATGGAGTGTGTGTGTGTGTGTGTTTGTGTGTTTGTGTGTGTGTGTGTGTGTGTGTGTGTGTGTGTGTGTGAGTGTGTGTGTGAGATTGTGTGTGCGAGCGTGTGTGCGTGTGTAAGCGCACACACGAGGTTCATAGCTGGCACCTGAAGAGGGAGGGCTTCATCAACGTGCTTGCGTAAAAGCAAGGGATGGATGGATGAATGGTGTGTGTGTGTGTGTGTGTGTGTGTGTGTCTGATTGTTTGTGTGTGTGTGTGTGTGTGTGTGTGTGTGTGTGTGTGTGTGTGTGCGTGTGTCTGATTGTTGTGTGTGTGTGTGTGTGTGTTTGTGTGTCTGATTGTTTGTGTGTGTGTGTGTGAGCGAGCGCACAAGGTTCATAGCAGGCACCTGATCGATGTGTGTGCGTAAAAACAAGCAAGGGATGGATGGTGTGTGTGTGTGTGTGTGTGTGTGTTTGAGATTGTGTGTGAGACTGTGTGTGCGTGCATGCATGTGTGAGCGCACACGCAAGGTTCATAGCGGGCACCTGAAGAGGGAGGATATCATCGATGTGCGTGCATAAAAGCAAGAGATGGATGGATGGATGGATGGATAGATGGATGGTGTGTGTGTGTGTGTGTGTGTGTGTGTGTGTGTGTGTGTGTGTGTGTGTGTGTGTGTGTTATACACAACAGAAAAAAAAAATCTTTTCAAATCAATTTTCTCATCAATGTTTACCAATCCCATGCTCTTATAATCAAAAGATTAAAAAAACAATTGAATTGAATTGAATAATTCATCAAGTTTTTTTGACTTAAAATAATATCAGGTTTTTACAAAAAAGACTGACATTTATGGGGTTAAAATACAAAACCTGAATAAAGTTTTGCTATTTATGATTAGGTTAAAAGTCAATGATGGCAGCCAAAAAATAAAATAAATAAATATATTTATTTAGACCATATTTCTACTGCAGCAAAATGGAGGGGACCGTTTCGGTCCTTAGGGGTGTTAATCGAAGTTTTTGTTATTATTCAACACTACAGAAAAAATACAAATCCTTTCAAATCAATTTTCTCATCAATGTTTACCAATCCCATGCTCTAATAATCAAAAGTTTAAAAAAACAATTTGCATTTATAGGATGGAAAATAATTCACTAATTGTGTTTTTTGACTGAAAATAATATCAGGTTTTTACAAAAAAGACTGGCATTTATGGGGTTAAAATACAAAACCTGAATAAAGTTTTGCTATTTATGATTAGGTTATAAGTCAATGATGGCAGCCAAAAAAAAAAAAAATTAAATATATTTATTTAGACAATATTTCTACTGCAGCAAAATGGAGGGGACCGTTTCGGTCCTTAGGGGTGTTAATTGAAGTTTTTATTATTATCCAACACTACAGAAAAAATACAAATCCTTTCAAATCAATTTTCTCATCAATGTTTACCAATCCCATGCTCTAATAATCAAAAGTTTAAAAAAACAATTTGCATTTATAGGATGGAAAATAATTCACTAATTGTGTTTTTTGACTGAAAATAATATCAGGTTTTTACAAAAAAGACTGGCATTTAAGGGGTTAAAATACAAAACCTGAATAAAGTTTTGCTATTTATGATTAGGTTATAAGTCAATGATGGCAGCCAAAAAAAAAAAAAATTAAATATATTTATTTAGACAATATTTCTACTGCAGCAAAATGGAGGGGACCGTTTCGGTCCTTAGGGGTGTTAATTGAAGTTTTTCTTAGGGGTGCACAAGGGTTAAGTCAGATAGCACACAGGGGTTGGAGTTATCTGTGCTTGGGACAAAGTCGTTGGGTTAAAAGTTGACATATTATACAGGCAATATAGCGGCAAATCACTTAATTAACTTTACATGGCAGCAGTAAGGTGAATCTGTGGGGATAACTACATCAAACATTCATTTTTTAAAATTTTACAGTAAAAAAGATTGAATATAAAAATGTAAAATACATAAAATCAAAATGTCATCCTCAGGAGAACATTCATTCTTCAGGCCAATCATAAAGACCTCAGCTCATTTTTCACAGAGTTAATTTACTCAAAACTTGACCCTGTAAACGTTGCTATACCACTATGGAAAGGTTTGAGGGATGAACAAATCCACGGTCATCAGTGTCTTGGGACTGTCAATATCAACATTAAATACAGGGGGTTTATTTTCACTTGTACTCATATATTTCAATTAGGGAAATACGGCGTTAAAGCGACAGATTAACCGTTTACAGAGCCCTGTCTCTGGAAAGCTGAAATAAAAAAAGAAAGTGAATTTTATTATTCACATGAAACTATTGTCTGCGTCTGTACTTTAAATATGAGTTTGTTTATTTTTGGTATAAGGTCCCAATGAAAAAATACCCTCAAAGTTATTGCAAAAACTGGATTTTATTATGTTTTAGTGAGGAATAAAAACAGTTATTATTATTGTAGTAGTAGTAGTAATAGTAATAGTAGTTGTTGTTTTTGTTTTTATTATCATTATTGTTATGATTATGATTATTATTATTTTAATCATTATTATTTAACTATGGAGAAGTATTTTTTGTAGTTTTAATCAAAAGTCTGCGTAGTAAACTCCTGATGTAAGCATTTATTTCTGCTTTTTCAGAAAACTGAACATGTTGCTTAGTCAAGGCTTTTAATTTGTAGGAGTCTTATAAATATGAGGGCAGAGAAAAACAACAGGGCTGCTTCACGCTATTAAAAATGTAAATTTAAGACTCTCAAACCTCTTCATGGCCCAAACAGATTAAAAACTGAAACACTTTCTCAAAGCAGAACAAGCAGCATTTAACATTTTAATCAGGTCCATTAAGTTAGAAAGTGACTTTTTTAATATCTGGTGAATTTTCTCATTTTGGCCCCTGGTAACCCTTTATTCCTAAATATTTTACTTTAAAGCTAAATTTCCTTTGACTTGAAAGTACCCCTTTTCATTTTGTGTTTCATAAATGTGTAGGAAGTAAACTGACACAGATGTTGTATTTTCCATGTAAACACACAAATCCAATGCAGGAATAGTAATATTTCATGAAAAACAATGTCAATTTGTAAAAGTACAATCATGTCTCAGACATGTCTTCCTAATTACTTAGGACCTCTCACAAGTAAACAAGACGTCTTCAGAATTTTTTAACCCTTTAATTTAAATGTTGCTCTAAATTTACAAGGATCCACTGGAATTCTGGGTATTTCTGAGATATTTAGCAATTTGATGTGATCTGTAATGTGGTCTTAACAGTGTTTGTGTCGGCTAATAACTCCTGTTACATGGCAGACACACAAAATACAGATAGTGATTATAGAAAGCTCTCTGACACTAACAGGAAGGGCCTAAACTGTACAATAAAAGCAGACAATAAAATATCATTAGAAAGAAGAAGACCAGAGAAGGCGGACAGGGACAAACATAAAGACGAAGCCATCACCAGAAATATTACAGCTGTGGTCTCGGGACATTGTTACCAGTTTTTTAAAAAAAAGGTGTTTTATTTGTATATGTGCAAGAATAGGTTTTTCCTGATGTATTTTGTTAATAATCTATTAAAATGTGAATACACTGCTTATCTAAGTTTGATTTGCACAATTATCTCACCCTAACATCAGTAGTTTTAGGACCCTTAATCTGCACAACACAGTTTTAGACTTAGACTCTCCTCCATGCTGAAGAGTGATAACTCTAACCCTGGACATCCCAAAACCAGGATAACAGGTAGGACATTTAACTCTGTGTATGTTCGAACTTATCTTCAAAATAAACAGAGTTCGCTCTGTCATTGATTTTTATTTAACTGATTCAATGCAGCATTTGTTGCGTTATGTTGTGTGACTTTTCTCTTTGCCTTTGCGTGTGCAGAGCTGCATGCTCATTGGTTCAGGATGCATCTGAACTTTGAGTTCTGCATGTAAATCGTTTTTTATTGAACCTCTAGAAACCTGTATGTAAAATGTGAATGGGTTTAGGTTTTGTGGGCACGTAACTACAGTGTGCAGCAAAAAAAAAGAATGTGTGTGTGTGCGTGTGTGTGTGTGTGTGTGAAAAAGTCAATAAAAAATCAAAAAATGGATACCTAAAGTGTGTTCTTGGTGTTTTACAGACAGTCTTGCACCAAATGATATTTTTTCCTTTCTGTGCAAAAACTGTGGTTGTTTAATAAAACTTTATCCAGTGTTGCAACATGAATCGCACATTTGTGAATGTAATGAATGTTAAATTGTGGAAAGGAAGAAAAAAAATGGGCACAAATAAATAGCACATGCACGCATCACAACAAGTCAGGGTCTTTCCTGTTTCGGACCAGCTGCATCTCATAATAAGTAAAGTTAAGGACATGTGTGCAGGCAAACTACAGCGTGTCCGTGTGTTTCACATTCATACAGAGTTTTCAGTTACTGAGGCATAAATAGAGAAAGAGAAAAGTAATGTTGCTGATTATTCTCCATAACAGATTCTGCATGCAGCAGTGAAAATGCTAACGTATTGCCATCCAGTAGTTGAGAGTAAAGTATTACTTCAAATAAACATCCAGTTTCCCCACGCCTGGCTCTGTGAGTAAATGGAGCAGAGGAGGAACAGAGGGGTTTTCTCCTGCGCTGATTGGGTGCAGATGTGAGCCCCGGTCTGGGTTTGGTTAAAACCCGCCTGCCAGGAATATTCGCTACAATTCAATAAATAGAGCTGTTAGGAGCGAGGCATTTCCTTGTCACCATGTCAAGGCTTCAGAGCGGATGTTTCATGTTGGGTGTTTTCACTCTGCCTGGAGTGTGTCTAATGCTTAGCCTGAACACTCGGCTCCAGAACACTGTGAACAAAAAGCTTCAATTAAACGCTGAATCTGAACCGGACTCTCACTTGGATTTACAGATCGATCTATAAGAGTGCAACTTACCTGAGCTTTTGAAAACATATGATTTAAACCTAAGGGTTTGTTATGTACATCTGAAACTCACCATGAATAAGGGACAAACTGAGTGAGGCTCTCCCCAATAAGTTGAGTCAAATTCTGCATGTGTAGCAGGTGATAAACCATGTTTACATGTAGCTGCTTACAAATAACATGTTAGCAACAACTTCGTATGTTCAACCCACAAAGATTTTTTTTTTTTACTTTCCTGCAGTGTTTTTATTTAATATCCAGATCTCATACAGGTCAAAGTGTCAGAAAAAAATGACACTTATTAAATAAAATTAAAAAAATAAATTGCAAGGCAGTTTCATTTATAAGCACCACTCACAGGCAGAGCAATAAGGAGAGCTCATTGAACAAAAAAAGAAGAAAAAAAAAAAGAAGAAATATGTCATTGGGGAAACATAAGTGTGCAAATATAAAAACATACTGAAAGTATTTGGATGGTCTAAATTGTGATGATTAACTTACTTTGAGCAGCTATACCTGTGTCAGAGCTCTCTGGAGGACCAACTACACACTCTGACCATCAGAACGCACCCAGAGTCACCTGCTGATCCTACCTTAACGTAGAGGGATCGTATTTCACAATTCACTCCTAAACAGGAGAAAAACAAAAAGGTGGAAGTTCAAATCCACCTTTCTGTGTTTGGTTTTCACAAGACAGCATCTACGAAACAACGCAAACTATGAGCATCAGACTGAAAACAATAAAACCTCTACAGCAAAAAAAAAAAAAAAAAAGTACCACCAAAGAAGACGATGAACAGTATTGCTCATACTATGATAGGGCTGCTTAATGGTATTTATTCCAACCTCTTTGTTTGTTACCATGGTTTCTGAAGTTCGTCTAGTTTAGGAGTGAGGGGAGCTGGATTTTGAACCAAGTTCACACCATTTCAGATCTAAAGTGGGGAGCAACTGATTCCAGACAGGACTAAGGAATCATCAAACGTTGTTTATAAGTCTTTCACATGTCTTTTAGAAGAACTGGTCATACATACATAAAGCTCACATATTTATTATTAAACATACTGTCTACCATTCCTCTAACACAAGCAGTCTATCTTAATTATGAGCCACAATTGAAGGAATGAAAAAAAGTCATTTTAACTGATTACTGAAAGGATTTCGATGCTGCCTCTGTACCAAATATCGTTTTTCTTCACAAAGAAATAGAGAAAGAATAACTGGAATTAAGTGCAGTAAAATTAAGAACAAAATAAAGTTACTCTCTATAAAACATTTAAAAGCCCATCATGAATCTTGAAACTAAAAGACTGTCTCTGAAAGACACATTGGACATGCAGGTGGACTTCAGTGTGACTCCTCCGCTTGCACCAGCTTCATATCAGCACACACTCTCACCCCCGGCATTGTTCCTCCTTCACCGCTCCTTCTTCATAATCTGCCTTTTCTCCTCCTCCTCCTCCTCCTGCTCTTCCTCCTCCTCCCTCTCTTTCTCTCTCCTCCCCTGCGCCCGTCTGCGGGGCGATCAAATCATCGTATGGAGAAATCCTGGTGATCCAAGAGGGCCAGGCAGAAAGGTCACAGAGAGAGTCCGTAAAATGGATGAAGCCTAATGATTAGCTCAACCTTTACCTAATCAATAATCATTTATCCAACAATATCACCGGCAGCCATAGCCCCATTCGCCATTAACCTCGGCGGTGAGGAGAGAGGCAGTATTGTTTCCTCTGGCAGCTTTACGGCACTTAGATGAGTGGTAGGGGCCGCATGGAAGCTTAAGGTTGGATGTGGATGGCTCAGATCCTATTAAGGGACTGCAGGTATTTTAGTGTAGCCATGTCATATAATTACCCTTTTGAATGATTGACTGTGACACCAGCTGTTAAAACGGCAGAACAGGATGGCCTTTTTATTAAAGGATATAGTCATAAAAAGGATGATGTTATTCATAGATGTGCTGCTATTGAAATTATGGTAAAAATACAGAATTCAAAAGACACTTATTCACACACTGTCAAAAATCAGAATCTGTTTTATTCTCTGTCCTTTCTGGGTTCTCAGAAATAAACGTTCGAATTTCTCTTTTTCAAGCAAAACGTAGAAAATTTGAAATCAGTTGTTTAAACGCAGAGAGCATCCCCCCAAACACTCATGTGTGCGCACACACACACACACACACACACACACACACACACACACACACACACACACACACACACATATATATATGTATATGTACGGCAGGGCTTGTCTCCTCTGTGTCTCCATGATGCCATCTTCATCATAACCTCTCCCTCTTTATTGCCTTTAATGACTCCCTCTCTCCTTTCATTAATTCTTTATCGATTCCTCCTGACGTTGCTTGAATTACTTTCCAATTACAGCAAATAAAAGAAAAGGAAAATCCATTGCAAATACACGCCTGCATGTGAGTGTGCTTGTGTGCGTGTTTTTTTTTACCTTTTTTATAGACAACAATCTGCTCTCATGTATTAGGCACCAACACAGTGGTCCTTTTTTTTTTTTTTTTCTACCGTGCTGGTATCATTTGGTGCACGGATGTGTGGAAATTTACAGATTTTTCTCTTTGCAGATAAACGCACACTTTGGTTGACACACAAACACGCACCGCAGAGGCAGGCTGGGAATGTGACGGAGGAGAAAGAGTAGTAAAAGGTCACAGGAAGCTAATGGCTGCAGCTATCTTACATGGAATAAGTTCAGACACTTTGGACAGGTTTGTGTGTGTGTCACAGAAGAGAGGAGGCCGGACGTGAGCGGAAAACACACCTGCAGACTCACAAACAGCAGATTTACAAACACGCACACACACACACACACACACACACACACACACACAAAATGTACATTAGGCATAAACAGAAGCTTTTAATATGCCGTTTGGAGAGCGTGAATGATGCTGCCGATAGCAGAGAGATTCAGTTGCAGAATTAGCCTCAGAGGTCCATCACACGGCCGCAGTTTATACCCACAGGTCATTAATTACAACAATTATTCACCTTCATATCGCAGACACATATCGACTTGCGTTTTTTACGCCTCAGCCCGGGTCGTCTGCTGCACCTAAAAAGGCGACGGGAAAATAAAGCGGCTAAATTAAGGATGTGCGTGCCTGTGAGTGTATTGAGAATGGGAATAGATTTTCAGCTGCATGGGGAGCCAGAATTGTTTATTATTTATTGTACAGTGTGCTGACCTCTCTGCAGTCCAATTACATGATATTATTCTGAGGGGGTGTCAGGGAAAGTGATGGTTAATGATGTAAAACAAGACACAGACAGACCTGAGACACATGCGCAAACCTGCATGTGCAGTCACTCTCACCTGACATCAATGAGAAAAGATCATAAAACCTCTCAGAAACTTGCTTTAGAAAAAAGATGTATACTGCTGAGAGTCTTGTAAAGTATAAAACCTGCAAAAAGTAAAAAAAAAAAAGAATTAATTAATAATGCCCAACTCCTATTTGCTTATTACTGATCAATCAGCACAGAAATGGCTGTTGTGAGTAATCCAAGTTTATATCCAAACAGGAAGCAGGAGCTCTGACACTTCAAATATTTACTCACTCAGAAGAGAGACTGAGTCATATTCAAAGTTATAAACACATTTGGCAGCCTGTTACACACAGCTAATGTTAGCATTCAGAGAACTAAAATAACAGGTAAAAGAGAACAATCTGCACAAGTACAATGATTATGTTAGAGATGAATTCTTAATGTTTAGTTGATCATTATAATAACTGTATGGCCTTTCAGTGTATGACCTCATGACTAAAACTGGGGACGTTGAGACTGTTGCTATGACAACCATATAACCACTCAACTGAAACCGGCTAGTATACAGGGTCACTGTTTAAACTAGGGACGCACAAATGGATTTTTACGGGTTATTTTCCTACTCAGTTGGTCTTCTCCGGCACAGAGGGGTGAGGAGCACTTGTATCTTTTTATCTGGAGACCCCTCATTGTGGACCTTCACCTCCATATAGAAGACATGTGCCAAACTGAATGACTGGACCCTATCCAACTCCTTCCACTAACCATCCGAAACTTCCAGAAATACATGTTTCTCCTTAACTTAGAAAACCTGCTTTTTGTTTCCGGGCCACAACAGACTCTGAAGACAGGCCTTCTTGTTTTTCTTGGACCATTCAAGCAACAAGCAACAGCATCACTTGATTTCCAGGCTTTCAGGTACATGTTCAGATGGAGTTTTATTTCATTCTTTAAAAAGAAAAACACATTGAGCTACGCTAAAGACATCAGCCCATGTCTAGAAATTGTAATAGTATTCACAGTGTAACATAATTTATATTACACACCAGAGAGTTTTAGATGTGATATTCTGTCATTAAGACATTACTAATTTATTCTTACATCAACTTTGTGAGTGCAGGCATTGGGATCAATTCATCTATTTTTCTTTGTGACATTTTCTAGCTGCAGATCTATAAATCTGCAGCAGATTAGTGTAAAACATCTTTTCTAAATTGACAAAGAGAACCAGACTATACACCTGTGTATTTTGACTGCCCCCATGCATCATGAAATTACGACAGCTCTTTGAGATTTCAGTTTAAAAACCAAAGTAACTTGACAAGCGAGTACTCCAGCCGTATAACTGGAGTCATACAACTCAAGCAACAACTTGATTGAGAAACTCTCACTTGTGCTGGAGACCCGTAAGATCTAAACTTCGACCCAAACAATGACTTTGTGTACTTTGAAAAGGAGATACTAAATGACAGCTCAGTGCTTTCATGTGAATTTGGAATAAAGTCCCTAAGCTAGCGCTCAACACCTGCTAGTCTAGAAGATAAGCGACTGTCTGCTCTGAAAGCCTGCAGACACCACAGTCATCAGTGCAATCCTTTTACTCTGGCACAAAACTCACTGCAGGTGAATGACACTGAGGAAAAGCTGCTGCTGTGACTTTTCTGAAGCGTTAACTTGAAGTGGATAACTATCAAAGCTCTCCATCCCACAAGAAAAATTCACAGACTGCATCTTCTTCAGAGTACATATTTCCAAATAACTTCAGTTCTTTATATAGACTACACGAGGTCATATATGATGAAGATAAAAGGCTATTGTGAGTTTTAATGTCCATTGGCATCAGTGTGACTAACTGAGAGGTGTTGTGCTGTTCTGTCGTTTAATCGGTTTTATTCCTCTGTATACATGCACAGAACAATATGTTCTGACCTCTTCATCCAGAGTGCCTGTGTGCTCATATTTACAGCTCATGTCCATCGCTGTCGGGGCCTGCCTTTGCAACGCGTGTGTAAAAACTGTCCCCGAGAGTGTGTGTGTGTGTGTGTGTGTGTCCTGACCTCTCCTGGCCTCTCTCCTCCAGCCCTCCTTTGAGAGTGTGTGTGATATACGGAGCTCTAATTGTCAGGTCTGGCCCCCACATTCCTCTCCTCCGCCTGCCTACCAACACCGTGTCACTTTAACAACCGCGAATTATCACTGCGATGGAGATCTCGGCTTCACGGTGGCTCTATGAGAATATAGATATGTTTCCTTCAATAAATCCCCCCACTCCAACCACACACACACACACACTCCCACCTCGCTACCTTTCCCTCCCTCCTCCCTCACATTCACTGCGTCTTGACTGACATTTTTACCACAACATTATTGCGTCTGGCTCACGACTGGAGAGTCACGGCTGCACCAAATGTGGCTAAAGTATCCAACTAAAAGGGGGATGAGATGAATCCGGCCCTTCGCTGTCATTTGACCGAGGTTATTGATTCTCGCAGGGCTGAGCAGGATCTCAGTGGCTTCCCCATAAAGCTGGCGTCCACGATGACAGCAGACAGGAGAAGAGGATGGGCCGTAAAGTGGCTAGGTAATACACGTTCATGTCTGCTTACCAAGGAAAGTTTCTTCGATTAACATCTGCTCTTACTTAATCTCTCCTCAGGTTTCAAGCAACTTCATTTTGGACAAATGGATGCAGTCCCTTTTTTAAGTGTATCCAAAGAGGATGTGTTTGCATGCTCTGCTTTCATTCGTTTCCTGGCTGTGAAGTGACATTTTTTTCTTAAGACAATAAAGTTTGAGTGAAATCAAAAGGCAGGAAGTCTTTTTTCCTTTCTCCAAAGAGCTCTCACACTTTCAAACACGCAGAATAAAACAACTGATATCCTAAAACGATGTACAAATGGTTAACAAAGTCATTATCAAACGGGACTATTAGATCTCGGTCTGCCATGTGGTTCATTTTTATATCAGTCGACACAAAAATAATTCCAACCACCCAATCGGATGCAGCTTAAGTACTTCAGCATGGCGCTGCAGAGCAGTCATCCTCTCCAGCAGACGGGATGCCACGTAAGTGTTTCAGTCTGTCTTTATAGAAGTGCAGGCCAGCTCCGCTACAGGCTTAGCCAGGACCAGGGGTTCAGCGTAATGAAAGGCAGATTGAAAAAGGCTCTTGATTGATTTCCTACATCTTGATTTGATATCCTGAATTAATTATTTGAACTTGAATAATATATAAAGGAAAAATAAATGCAAAACACTCTGGGGAAACAAGGAGAGAGCTCCAAGGCTGCTGCTGCTGCTGCTGCCGCCGCCACTGCGGCTGCTGCACGGATACAGATATCTCGTGGTCAATCGTATCCCATCCCCTGCTGCTCTGGAGGGAAGTGTGGGTGTGTGGTGTGCGTACATGTTTGTGAGTGTTGCAGCTGTTTTACATGTGTGTGTTACAGTACAATTTTGTCTGTGTGTGCTGAGGAAAAAAAAAAAATAAAAGTAGATGTTTGTGTGACTTTCTACATAGTTGTTTCGATTCTCTGTTTGCGATTTTTTAAGGTGTTTGGTCTTTTTGAAGACATAAATAAGGGTCTCTCAGCCTGAAACAGGGGTCCTTCTGCTTCAGACTCCGGCCTAAAGGGGTGGGTTAAAACAGATAAGCCAACATTGTCTAGATCAGAGAGACAAATACTGTACATGCAGAGCTAAAGCTAACTCAAATTCAGGGTTTCCACAGAAACTGTAAAACAGGACTCTGGTTGAATTAACTTTCTTATCAAATCACCTTTAAACACACTAAGTTCATATCCTTGTAAGACTTCTGCTTTGTGCTTTAAACTCTGGGGTAACCTGTGATCATCTTTGTGTCTTAGAACTGTGGAAAAAGTTATTGATATTGGAAAGCTGACATCAGTATTTCAGCACTGCTCCCCCTCACATTAATTTGAAAATTGTGTTTTTTTTTGGCACTAGACAGGACAGCCAATGAGAGACAGGAGAGTGGAGGAAGACATGTGACACAGGGTGGGGGCAGGGAATTAAACTTTTGTTTACTGCAATGACAAACCCAGCCTCCACTTGTGGGGCACCCAGACCATTATATTTTATATTTTTGTAATTACATTCAGTTTAGCAGCATGCATCACAGAGTTTTGCAGCACTGGAAATTGCACTGATTTCAAGACAGTCTGACTGCAGACCTCCACTGTGAGAACCCACCTCCACTAAGCCGACCAGAAGTTGATTTGAAGCCTCTCAAAATAAAAGCAAATTTACCGGGAGTAAGCCTCTTTTCTAATGTCTGAAGGTGATTCGAAGCCTATAAATTAAAAGAGATTAGACCAGGAGTTATGTCATTTATGTCTCGTATGGATACATTTTATAACTTGGGGCTTTATTTTATGTATATAATGTTTATATGATTTTTTTGTGAATCAACAAAGAGAAAATACAAAACAGGATGAACACTTCAAACAAACTGGAGCAGGTGACAAAAAAACGTCACCTCAGGTCCTCTCAGTGGAGGTGGGTCCTGACAGTGGAGGTCTGCAACCAGACACCCCTCACTGACCCTTTTGCTGTGTTTAGACCAAGAGCAGGACTCACATAATAAAAGCTTGATTTTTGTTTTGACAAGTCTGAGCTTTTTCAGCTTGAATATTTGGTCTCTCGGTCATAACAGAGAGTTTATTCAACTTTATCAACAATATTTGTGACCCATTCCAAGAATGATATAGAAAATGTGGTTACATTTCCTGGATGCTTTTCAAAGTGAAAGTCTGATCTGTTTTTCTGTTTCATGTCTGCCCTCATTTTTGCACATGCTTTTATTCTGAAAGTGCATCCTGGACAGGTATGAAGTGGATGAAAAATTGAAAAGCACGTCTCTTGGCTCTGTGCTAACCTTTGGCCTCTACTGTACCTGCATGTAATTGAAAAAAAAAAGAAGTACAGAGATGGTGGTGAGTGGGACATTTGAAACCATGGAGATCAATATTAGAAATAGATAATATTTAACCAGAATAATATTTAATGTTTGAATGGAAAGACTGGCAGCCTCACTGTTTCTGTTACATGTGCCATAATACACTTGTGCAGAGATCACTATGTGAGTATAAAGGTGTAAGAGCTGTAATGTAAGAAGCATATAGACTCACCTCTACAGTGTTTTTAGTCACTAACCAACAAGCTGGAGTCCTCAGGCTTCAGATATGGACCACTGTTCAAACGCCTGTGAGCAGATAGTGCTGATGGGAGTTGTAGTGTCACCTCACTCTGCATAACTTTATTATTTCAGTTGCCTTTTGAAAAGAATACGATTAAAACACATGCAAAGTTAACCCGCCAAAGTAAGCTCAGTGTTGATGTGAAGCCCCAACTTATTTCACCACTAAGTGAGATTTCCCACACATGCATACCAGCAAAGCAAGGCAAGGCAAGGCATCGCATCTTTTTATATAGCGCATTTCATACCAAGGCAACTCAATGTGCTTTTCATAAAAACAAAACTTTTTTTTTTTTTAAAGAACAGCATAAAAACAACAACAACAACAAAAACAACAAAAACACTGCTAAAGCAAAAGCAATAGATAAAGTTTAAAATGATTAAAAAGAGCTCAACCATAAGCACATGAAAAGAGAAATGTTTTTAGCCTGGATTTAAAAGTGCCCACAGTTGGGGCTGATTTTAGTTCTGCTGGTAGTTTGTTCCAGTTGTGTGCAGCATAACAGCTAAATGCTGCTTCACCATGTCTGGTTCGCACTCTTTGCCCCACTGTCTGACCTGAGTCAGTACATCTCAGAGCTCTACTGGGTTTATACTCTACTAACATATCATTCATGTATTCTGGACCAAAAGCATTTAGAGATTTGTAAACCAGTAGCAGAACTTTAAAATCTATTTGGTAGCTGACTGGGAGCCAGTGTAAGGTCTTAAGAACTGGGGTGATGTGATCTCATCTCTTTGTTCTGGTTAAAACTCAAGCTGCAGCGTTCTGATTGAGCTGCAGCTGTTTGATACTTTTTTGGGGGAGTCCAGTCAGAAGACCGTTACAGTAGTTGAGTCTGTTGGAGATGAAAGCATGATTCACCTTTTCTGATCAGTTTGTGACAGAAAAGTAATAAGAAGTACAGCGTCATCTGCAAGAGCCTCAAAAGCCAGTGAAAACAGAAAGTTCCTTACTTGAGCTTTAAGCATGTGAAACCAAAAAACAGGATTCAAAATACACGTAAACACTGCTCTGCTGGTGCTGAATGTGTTCAGGTTCATGTTTGCAGGTGTGTTACAATGTTTATTAGCGGACACTTTTGTGTGTTTGCCACATGTAGGAGTCTCTTTCAGACCCATACAGAGGTTGTCAGTAAATGGTTGATCATGTGGAAAAAACTAAAGAGAAAATTGCTCTAAGTCACTTGTTTTCATCTTCTTTATTGAACTGTTTGTTTGTGCTCTTGGACCCTGAATCAAGTCCAACAATAACAGATCTTAAATGTACATTTGAAACTTTACAACATCACAGTGGATAGAACAATCATAAATCAATCAGACTGGCTTGTGTCTCACACCAGATGAAGATGCTTTTATTGATAGAATAAGAGCTCCCCTGTCTCCCAACAATAAAACACTGTAAAGTGTGGTTGTCATGTGGCTCATTTCTGAGTCCAGGTGCCAGCGGTCCAGCTCATCCTGTTGTGGCATCAGAGGAAACATTAAACACTCCTCCTGCTCATCTTCTCCTCCCAGCCTGTAGAAGAAGGATGGAGGGAAGGTGAAGGATGCTGAAGGAAGGAGGGAGGCTATCAGCCGGGTTCAATTGGACGACTATACTTTGCCTCCTCTCCCCGCCGCCTATTTTGTTCTCCCTCTTTGGCTGCCGACACCCAGATTATCATAAAGGAAGACGACTGCCGTGCAGCTGGCTGATTTGCAGGAAGCTTGGACCAATCTATCTCAAAGGTAAGATTAACAGTAAAGGCTCCCCCCTCTCTGCTCTCTTACTACCTCGTTCTCTCCTCACCCTTACTATCTGTTGTCTCAATTTCACCCCCTCCCTCCCTCCCTCCCTCTCTCCCCCCTCTTTTCTTTATATTTTAATCTAAGGGGAGAATGAAAGGTGGGGCCTTTAAATTTCATAGCCCCCAGAAAACTCTGGCAAGTATTCATTGTTGTTCTACTTTTCCTTTTCAACCTCTCAGCTGGAGGCCCAGGCTTATGACATCTTTATATATGATGCACTGATCTTAAATTGCCACTGACGCCTGTAGATGAGCTGCACTGTGATCTCCGAATACAAAAACAGCCCTGACTGATTTTTCTTATTGACACACGCTGCAGCAGAGATCAGCCCGAGCACTGCCAGCCCCAAGCCTCACTCATCCCGTCACATTAAAAGCACCGACTTTGAATATATTCACAACTAAAACAGCCATAATTACTCCCTGGGTATTTTGGGGATAATTGTTATAACTTATGATAATACTTTTTTTTTTTTTCTTCAACACAACCTGCTTTATGGTGAGGATCAGCAGTGTCATAAAGAACGAGGCGCAGCTCTTAATCATCGGGACAAATACACCATTAACTTTTGAATTCATTTCCTGAATCTGCATGGGCTACGGTAAACTCTTCCTCATTATGAAGCAGATGCTTTCAAAGCCAGACTGGATGGGATCAAAGGCCAGAGAGGGAGAGAGCGACTGGCTCCCTCGCCCGTCGCTTTAGCTCATTTTCATCACCATCCACCGACTAAAACATCTATCGCATTATGCATTAA